ATCAGTGTACTTCAATACTAGTACACAGATTAGCAAGGCCATACTCTTGAAGGAAGTCCGCCCCGATATCGCCGCGATAGCTTCACACGGTTCTATGTTACTCAATCGATTCCGCTCATTGTGACGATTCGATTGAATAGAACTACAATTTCTACAATTCCTACGACTCCTACCCAGCAGAGAAAACACCCAGAAAACACCAAACACCACCAAGCTTCACACGGTTCTAGGTTATCGACCAATTCCGCTCACTTGTGATAGAACACATTCACCCAAAATGGACCTCCCAGCCAGGACAAGAAACCGATGACATTCAGAAAATTCTATCTTCAGAAACGACTTAACACCGCCTCGACACTATGACTCAAAATGGACTCCAATCAACAGAAGAAGGACACTGATCTTGACACCGCCTGCAGACACCATGACCGGGCGTGACCTAGGAAAATGCTAAACAAGGGAGTCAAACCATCAGATACCCAAGAAAGACTCAAACAACTCGTCCATTGGAGAATACAAGAGTACACAACAGCACAAATGGAAGGCTCTCTCTGACATCTTTGCTGAGGAATTTGAACTATTCGCCAAAGAGGACTTTGAAAAGCTTACCAAAGACAATATCTATGGCTTACGAGACTGCCTACGGACCAACGGAGTCTATGTTCAAAAAGGGAGAGGGATTTCCATAGCCCAAGCACTGGCAAATGTGGTTCAGGAAGATATCCCATGGCCATCCGACGACGACGAAGAAGAACGTCCTCCACCAAAGCAGTCCCAATATTACCCTCCTCAACAACAGTCAATACAGCCAGTTCAGCCACAGCAGCCCCATCCCTATCCCCCTCAGCAACCGGTTCAAACAATACAGGAACAACAGCCTTATCGACCGGAGAACACTATTCCTCTCCCCCCGCAACCGCCTTATCAACCAGAGAATACTGTCCTCTCCCTCCGCAGCCACCTTATCAACCAATTGTCGAAGATACCACTCCAGTCCACCCTCCCCCCACTCCAATTGTCGAGGATACCACTCCAGTCCACCCTTCCCCCACTCCAAGCGACGGCCCTCCACGTCAGCCTCAACAACAGCCTGAGGATACCACTACGCTCTTTCCACCCACCACAAACTACGGCCCAGATTACCGAGTCCCACACCTACTACCCTCGCCCTACCAAGTCATTCAAGACTTCGAGATCAAGGAACAGGCCGTTGCAGAGGTGAAGCAGAGGATTCTTTGAAGAGCACTACGAAGAAGAGCATTACAAGCAGCAGCCCTGTCAACACGAGCCAACTCTCTGCGGTTCTACGTCCGCGCACTATATCGATCCTCAGAGAGCCTACTTTCTCGCTCAGCACCGCTCGAATTCAGCATACTCCAAATCTCGCTCCACCTTTCGCCTCCCAGCATGCTCATTTTCTCGCTCCACCTTTCGCCTCCCAGCATGCTCATTTTCTCGCTCCACTTTTCGCCTCCCAGCATGGTCATTTTCTCGCCTCTCCGCTCGGCTACGTTCGTGATGCGGAGGAAATGGAGGCTACAGGCCAAGGATAGGTGAATGGAGTATATGGACGGTGCATTCTTGATGTAGCTGTCCAGGGATTTGATCATGAGGGTCCATCTTTCTCCCATTGCTACTAGAAATACGCCTAGCATAACCGGATCTACGCCCACTACAGCAAAGGGAACAATTGCAGTCATGGAGAGCATTGCGGAGAAGGATTCGAAGAAGTAATGTTTTGATAGCATGCGAATAGCCTCATCTTTTTTGGTTTTTGCCAGTGTCGGTAACTCAACACTCGCTACCACTAGTACTCATTCGGCCTAGTCATTGGTATATGAAGGCCTTCTCTGTACATAGATATCCTTCTTCCTTAGACATCATTAAGAAGACAGCCCAGTACACCCCAAAATTTCTCGGATACTACCCAGGATTCCTGCTGAGTCTTGGTAGCTGGAGAGAAGTCAAAGAAGCTTGTACTGAATAAAGCCTCCAGGCAACCCGAAATTAGTCGGTGTCTGGTGCGGAACGACCATGGTTCACTCACAGCAACGAAAGTTGCAGGCAACAAGGTCAATGTCAGGACTGCTATCGTCCTCATTGCTGCGCTATCTCTCCGTACTGCTTCGCTCATCTTTACCATGACCTTGCTGTCATACTGCGTGATGGTGTTGAAGGCCTGCCGAGGTCAACTGAGGTAGGATTCGAGAGATACTCGGATGCAGACTGACCAAGTCTATCTCGTTGCGCAGTCTTGCCTCGTTAGCTTTCGATCGTGCACTTAAGTTCCGCAACGTCTGAACCTCAAAGCGGAGTGCTTGATTTGTCCGCCGTGAGACATTGGAACTCGTGTCCGAAGGGGGCACTTTGCAGAACCACTCGTGTTGGCAAAGGATACTTTTTGTTGTTTCTGTTGCAACGTCAAGTGTTTCCGAGGCATGAACGGCATGCCGCGCGAAGTCATGCAGTAGAGGGAAACTCGCTGCTTGTTGGGCAACGCCGTGCCGATTCTAGAGGCGTATCAGTTTGAGTTGGTTCCTCGTGTCAAAAATGCTGTGGTGGCAGCTTTACCACTTCAATCATCCTCACAAAGTCTCGAATAGACCAGACGGAGGCGTCGAAGGCTTTGATGATTTCTCCAAGGATGATCGCATGAAGCGAATAAGGATCAGACGGGTCAAGCGTTGTTGACGGCGACAATAAAAGGTTTCGAAGTCCATCGCGTAGATGCTGAGGGACGTCGAAGCAGAGAACAACATGTACATTTGCTGAAGTCCATTTCGTGAAGAATGCCATCTCATACCATTCGTAGTTGTGGTATTGGATACCTCTGACTTCTACTAGCTGCTTGATTATAAATCGGAACCATGTGTATGCACCGGTCGTTAGTAGAGATTTACATTACTTAGAAAAAGGCAATACCATGACTTTTAACTTTACTTTCTTCATTGTACGAATCTCCACAACCAAAGAATCCATTAGAACGCTGGTAACTCTTGGACCAGAACAAATCAGGTATTGTGTATCGAGCGGATAGGTTTTGTCGAAGGATAGCCGATGCGAGGAAGGGTTCTGAGGTAGCAAAGCTATTTCGATCAGGGAAAGCCTAGCAAGAGGCGTGTAACGGACACAACATGGCTTCGCTTCTTGCTTTGTCTAAACAATGTCTTAGCACGTGTCGCCAGTGCCTCGGTAGTTTTTATAGATAAGACCGAAGACCGTCTTCTACTGTCGCACTTGTGCTGCGCCATGTTCCCTCCACTAATGCCAGTCAACATTCGTAATCAGCGGAAGGTCAGCGTCGTACCTTGTTCAAGGATATCCATGGAACTCATTGGGAATATGGTGGTGCTCAAGTCCTGCATTGATACAATCTGTATTGACGAGATTACGAAAGCGTTCACCAGCGACAAAATCGGTCAGCAGCCTGTCAGTGTCAGGCTGAGGGGACCGAACAAATTCCATGGCTTTGTGGATCTATGCTCTCTTAAGAACATGGTCCAATGCATCCTGTAAGTCTACAAGGCTGCAGTGGCGGATCTATAGGCTCTTGTGCTCCGCAGGGGAGGGATCATCTTTGATCATTGCTGCGGCGGTGCCCGACAATGACACCAGATGAGAGTCTTGAGGCAGTCCTGCACGTAAGGTTGATAGGGACATGCATTTTATCGCCTCTCTGGTAGCTACACAACTGTAACGCAAGCTTAGACCGATTCTATCTTGTACAGTATCACCTTCAACCTGTGTCTCCTCGGTCAGCATGTACCTTATCTCTAACATTCTCTCTGCCGCAACATCGCGGACTCGTAGTGGCTGCATATCGAAGTTTCTTCAGGCGTCCTTCAGACAAGGCAAAATCAGGCAGTGGATCGTCAATTTCGCACGTAAGCAGGTGCAGCGAGTAGGTGAACGGTCAATTTTCTCGAACGCTCAGATGGGTCCCACCCTCCTCCCCATCCTCTCCACTCTCCTCCCCACCCTCTCCGCTCTCCCAAGCATGAGCCGCAGCTCCAAAGGTTCTAGACTCGGTCCGATCAGAGACCCCCCTTTCGAAGCTCCGAGAGCCTGATCCAAACAAGCGGCGAGGCTACACTTCACTCCAAGTAAACCACCCTCTAGTGTCTTGCTTACGCACGCCGTCTCTCCTCTGTCCTCGTCTTCTTCTTACTTCAAAACCTATTGCTGGCCTCTTTGCGCTGTATTGCAGAGTCCCCGTTGGCTCTAATGGCACAAGAAAGGCGCCTCTATACCGTGGGATGGATCTGTGCATTGCAGACGGAGTATGTGGCAGCCTGCGAGCTCTTGGACGAGGAACTCCCCCCTCTACAGACAGCACTACCCCACGACAACAACGCATACACCTTTGGTCGCATCAACGACCACTACATCGTCATCGCATGCCTTCCGAAAGGAAGGTACGGTCTTGCTTCCGCCGCTAGCGTGGCCAAAGACATGCTGCGCAGCTTCGATTCCATCCGCGTTGGATTAATGGTCGGCATCGGAGGGGCTGCGCCAAGCGATAAGCACGATATTAGACTTGGTGATGTTGTGGTCGGCTGTCCAGTGAAGAAGGAGGGTGGTGTGATTCCCTACAACTTCGGCAAGGCGGTTCAAGAAATGGAGTTTGTGTCAACTGGGTCTTTGAACTCGCCGCCGACGGTTCTGTTGACGAATCTGACCAAGCTGAGCGCATACCACGAGAGAAAGGGCAATCACATTGCTGAGTCGGTTCGAAAGATGGTTGCCAAAAACCAAAGATTGGGAGAGAAATACCAACATCCGGGGGTAGAGAACGATCGGTTATATGAGTCAAGCTATACTCATCAAGGCGGTGATGATAGGTGTGAGATCTGTTGTGACCAAGCATCTCCTCCGGTGCTCCACCGATCGCAGCGGCTCCATGACTTGAATAAGCCGGTGGTGCACTACGGCCTTATCGCATCAGCAGACACACTGATGAAAGATGCGATTGCTCGCGATCGGTTAATCAAAAAGCACGATATCTTATGTTTTGAGATGGAGGCGGCAGGGCTCATGAACGACTTCCCGTGCGTGGTTATTCGAGGTATCTGCGATTACTCGGATTCACACAAAAACGATATGTGGCAAGGTTACGCGGCGGTCGCGGCGGCGTCGTACGCCAAGGAACTTCTGGGAATTATCCCAGCACATCAGATTGCCAGCACGCAGACGGCGACTGCGGAGATGGGTGAGTAGACATTTATACCACAATGGCCCTTGGGAGGAGCAGGTCAGATGTGGAGGTCACATTTTAAGAGGGAAAGAGCTCGATGGGAATAGCCAGATTGTCTTCTCAATAGTCACCAGATAAATTGTGTATAGCGCTGATCTTTCCCATGTCGACTTTAGTCAAACCTCTCTTCTCCGTGCCATATGAAAGAGATGCCAACTTCATTGAGCGAAAAGACATCTTCTTTCAGATTGAGAAGCAACTTCACATGCATCACCGTGCTTCAATATGTGGAATTGGAGGTGTCGGGTATTTTGTTCTCTCACACGAGCTCTCATAGATACTGACAAAAGTTTCAGGAAATCTCAGATCGCCATCGAGTACGCTTACCGGTTTCGGCAGTCTCGACCGCAGAGTCATGTCTTCTGGGTGTACGCCGCCAGCTCTGGTACAATTTTGCAGGCCTGTCATGAGATTGCGCGTAGCCTGCAACTTCCTACGTACGAAGATCCGAAGTCCGATCCATGTGAGCTGGTCTCCAGATGGCTCAAAGAGGACGACCGTACGTGGCTCCTGATATTGGATAATGCGGACGATGCAGATGTCATTTTCGCTTCGACTGAATTTCATGCATCACCTGCTACTGTTACGCAAATTCATCGACCCTTGATCGACTATCTTCCTAGCATTTTGAATCCTCAGAAGTCATTGCTTGTTACGACAAGAGACAAACGTGTTGGTCAGGACCTTGCCTATGGAGAACTGTGTGTGGAAGTGCCGCCATTTTCATGTCAAGAGGCGAGAGCCCTGTTGCGATCGAAAGTGAAAGGAGCGGCGGACTTTTTCGACGTGTCCAGTACAGAAAGGCTGCTGGAAGTTTTGGGACATATTCCACTAGCCATCACGCAAGCTGTAGCTTTCATCAATCACAATGGGATGACTGTCGAAAGCTATCTAACAGCCCTTGAAACAGATAAGCAGGACCTAACGGAGTTTCTGAGTCATGAGCTTCAAGATCATCGGAGGCAGCGTGGTTTTCCCAATTCCGTCTTTCGAACATGGAAGTTTTCTTTCGATCAGATCCTGACACAAGAGCCTCAGGCGGCGAAGTTGCTGTCCCTCGTAGCGATGCTTGATCCACGACGGATCCCGGAAAAGCTAGTACGACGGTCAATTGGGAGAGAGTTGGACTTCAGGACTGCCATTGGTACGCTGAACGGATTCGCTTTGATTACTGCAGAGATTGGGGGAGAGATATACGCCATACACCCACTTGTGCAAGCATCGGTGCACTATTGGCTCGAGCAGAGGAACGAGAAAGCGAACTACGTAAGTCAAGCGTTAGAGCTGTTAGCAAAGGAGTTTCCGCAGGGTAAATATGAAAACAAAGAGACGTGTGAATCATTGTTGGCGCATGCTCAGGCGGTGTTGAATTGGGACTACGTATCAAAGGATGATGATCAGAGATACCGCGCCGCTCTTCTATACAATGTTGCGACCTTTCATGGTGCGCAGGGTAGATTTGGCTTTGCGTATCAAGAAGTCTCCAAAGCACACAATATTGTTCAAAAACAACTGGGGGAAGATGCGCCTGGCACTCTGCATAGTCTGTCTTTACTTGCAACAACCCTTCGCGGTCAAGGAGAATATAAAAAAGCCGAGGATATGAGCCGACGAGTGCTGGAAGGTTTTGAGAAGGTGCTGGGAGTTGAGCATCCCAGCACATTGTTCAGTGTCAATAATTTGGCATTAGTGCTTCGACAACAAGGAAAGTATAAGATGGCCGAGGAAATGAGCCGACGAGCGCTGGAAGGAATGGAGAAGGTGCTGGGACTCGAGCATCCCTACACATTAAGCAGTGTCCACGATTTGGTACCCGTGCTCTCTGTAAAGAAAGATCATAAGGCGGCCGAGCAGATGAGTCGACGAGCGTTGGAAGGAGGTGGACGAGCATCCCTACACATTAAGCAGTGTCCACAATTTATCAGTAGTGCTTCTTAGGAAGAAAGATTATAAGGCGGCCGAGCAGATGAGTCGACGAGCGCTGGAAGGATTTGAGAAGGTGCTGGGACTCGAGCATCTCAACACATTAACGAGTGTCCACGGTTTATCATTTATACTTTTTGCAAAGAAAGATTATAAGGCGGCCGGGAGATGAGGAGACGGGGTGTGGGAAACGAACGCACCCCTCTACGGTGATAACCATGTCTAGCCTTGCCAACTCATATCACCTTGAACAACTGTACGATGAAGCATCAACTCTCTATCTGAAAGCTTTGGCAGGGTTTACAAAGACGTTTGGGCCCGATGATCCTAGAACACGGCAGTGCCATCAAAAGTATACGTCCATGGTTGACGAAAGGGACCGCAATGCTAGAGAAGATCAGAACCCAAATTCTTGCTCAGGCTCGGCGAAGTAGCAAGGACGTATAACAGGCCGGCCGACGAGGTGGTAGAGAGGCGACTGTGTGACGCCTGCTTCAACAATCACACTTCGACGTCCTCTTTCCCTTGCAGTTGTGCACCATTTCCGAGTCAGGTCGGAAGAGGGCGAGGGGGCGATCTTCAGCGATCCGTGCGTAAGCGATTGACAGAATCGTCACATGTAGGGTGGAGGCATGGCGACTGGCGATGGGCAGTGGGTGGTGGTCGGCGGAAAGGGGTTGCAGATCCATGAACGAGCGAGACGACGGCTGGCATGGAAATGGACGAGGGAGAAGAGTGGAAGAGTAGCAAGGGAAGGAGGGTCTTTGTACCTTGAGAAAGCGGCGTGTGAGTCGCAGGTCCGCGCCTGGCCCCAACAGGGCGCACAAATCCGACGGATGGGGAGTTCAGCTCGCCATCACGGAGCATCCCAGCCCTTATTCCACAATTCGGGCAATTCCCAGGACACAGGTTCTCGACTAGAACCTAGCATAGAAAGCTGTGTCGATTTACAAGAGTTGCTTTGCTGTTCTTTGACGGGGGAGGGCAAGCACACTGGGAGCCGACACGGCAGCGATTCTGGTTGTGAGACTGAAACCAAAAGCGAGATTTGTGAGAATGTCGACGTTTGACATACTACTGAACAGAAGCCAAAGGTTGTCAGGTGCACGGGAGTGATTGGCGGGAGGGGAGGCCGGCATAAGGCGATTCTTGGTCAATTTCCAGCAAGCAAGTGATCGAATGTCCGGATAAAAGAGGGTAGATTGGGCGCAAATCGTTTACATCTTTCCACTATTTGACAGCGTACTTTCTAGTAGAACGGCTCACAGCTCATTCAGGAATGCTGATCATAGTTACTGAGCCTCAAGATACTTTCAGAGAGCTTGGATGATACATGGCAATCCTTCAATGTCATTCCCATAGACTACCGAAATTGAATCAGCGCCATTCCTCCTTGATCGAATCTGCTGCTCGCTCAGTTACAGCATCGTCCAACAGCATACGGGTACTCATTCACTCATCGGGCAGGCTATGATCCAGGATGCACCTACCCAGGTTCATACCCGTAAGACTGACATAGCTATGTATCTTTTGAGGTACTTATCACTCTGCTCACAAATTGTAGCTACACTTGATAACGTCTATCAAGTGTGACTACTGCAACGTGACGAACGATGCAAAGTTCTCTCTCCAGGCCGAACTCTGGCGGCTCCCCAATCGGCGGCGATTGCCTCTTCTTACTTATACCACAGTCTCCACGAACACCTGTACCTTATCCTGACTGCAGAAGTATCGGCCTCTATGCTTATAATTAGGACTACATATACTCATATATATCTCTGATCCCGATCCGCATTCTCGGCTAGACTCTTATGCACTTTCCTAGCCTGTGAATGCCGTACCAGTCGAGCAGCGTGTCCGAGAACGCAAACCATTGTTGTCCCATTCATGAAAACACGCATATGGCATAGGGGCCCACATAGGGTGTGATAGTGGTTGGGCCGTCTCACGGGGATAGCAAGTCTGATTAGGCCCAAATAGAGGCCTGAACAGGCATATCTCTCGTTCCCAGCGTAAGAAACTCGCATGTCTGTGCCATAGACCTGGAGTGGAATAGTAGCTAGGTATGTACAGGTATGGGTGGGTGGGACTAAAAGTATGCGATGGCTCTGAAAGAGACGAAATCGAATGAAGAGCCATTGACAGGTGAAAAACAGGTGGCTATATAGCTCGTAGTGGACACCTGTCTCCGAACCCTTGCATGGGCCCTGACAAGGGCCTGAAACAGGGGCATATCTGTGCCCACTACTCTCCCTCAATCTTCAATTCCCGGAAACGTCAACTCAAACGTTGCCGCCAACTTCCCACGGTCCAAAAGCCCCGCGTGGGACACCTCCGTCGTCCCATGACGCAGCGTCACCCAACGCAGAGTAGCGACCAGCTCCTCGACCAGCATCTTCGGCACCATGGTCTCCTGTCTGATCCAGAAGTTTACCCCGTCGCTCGTGAAAGAGTTGACCTTCCCGCGTCCGGCGATGTATTCTGCATTCACGATCCGCACGATCTCATTCATGGCGACCCGGACGCGCTCTTCGCAGTACATCTCTCCGGCGCAGACGTGGCGGCCGTAGTGCTCGATGGATATGGAGACGGATTCGTCAATGACATAGGTCCAGGGCACGTCGGGCCATGGTTCCCGAGATAGGGTCGTCGCGTTGAGTGGAAGAGGGTTCGCCGATGAGGGATTTGAAGGAAGGAGTAGAGGGGGAAGAGCAGTGCATGATCTGGTGAGTGCGAAAACTGTCAGGAGAGGGAGGATGTGCATCTTCGGTTAGCTGTTGGGTTTGGAATGCAGGTGTGTAAGTGGGAGCGCGGCTGGGCGTATTATTGTTGTACGAAGGAGGTTCGACACGGCCAGAGCACTCATATTGCGTAAGGTCGCACCAGATAAAATAGAACAGTATACGGTGCGCATATATCTCGCCATCGCCGGTAAACCAATCGCAAGCCCCAATCTTGGGACTATGTATTCGGAAACAAGGAACTGTTGATCGGTGAAACAGGTATACAAAGACGTGAATGTGAGCATTTGGGAGAGATGCTACTGAACTTATCTGGCATGTTGAAGATCAGGGTTGGTTAAAAGACTTAAGGAAATCAGCATGCAAAGTCCTATACGCCAAGACAGATCTCGGATAACGCCCCTCCTGGAGGACTGCCTGGACCTGTCAGGCCCCAAAGAGGTCTCTAAGCTCAGTTTATGCGCTCCAAGGAGAAATTTATAGGATACACTGCTACAGGGTCGCCTTCCGAAGGTAGCATTAGGGCTACTACTAACGCTGTCCAAGGCTCTTAGTGCCTACCTCTGTACACATCACACACATCAATCAACCTGCTTTTTGACAAAATAGTTATACAAGGGTAAAGGAATATATATCTGCCTCCACCACAGCACAGTTCGCCTGTCCCATCGAACCTGCCTCCTCCTCCTCCTCCTCCTCCTCATCGTTATCGTCATCGTTTCATCCCCTTCACTCCCTTACAACCTGAAACAACAACCGCCTCATATCGGGATCGCCCCACTCCCTGTTCTGCGCGTAGCCAAAATCTACCTCGTCAAGACTGGCCTCAACCCTCCACCTCGTGTCAGTCTCGCGGCCCATCTCCTCCCAAAATTCCGTCCAGCTCTGCACATCATGTCGGAACTGCCATCGCCCGTCTTTCATCACATCATACTCCCCCGGCTTGACGCTGCCCAGCTGCCGGCCCAGCAGCATGGACCCGGGCACCGGCTTCAGCAGTGCGACGACCGTCTTGGCGACCGCGAGCTGTCGGGGCCGTGGGAAGAGGTGGAAGAAGGAGGCGGCCCAGACGATGTCGATTTTGGCATTCACGTCGGCGAGGTCTTGGGCCGCGGACGGGCCGAGCGCATCGACGGTGAGGAAGTGGCTGTCCAGGCTGCTGCGGTCGAGGAAGAGGTCGTAGCCGAGGTCGATGAACTTGCGGTCGACGTCGATGCCGTAGAGGCGGTCGGAGGCCACGCCGTCGAGGACGAGCTGGCGCAGGTCTTGCGCGAAACAGCAGCCTAGGTCCAGGAGGGTGGTGTTGGGGGTGCTCGTGAGGCGGTGGAGGATTTGCGGGTAGGCGGGGTGGGTGCGGAGGGAGAGGTTGAGGAAGCGTAGTTGGCCGATGCAGGCGTAGCTAAGGAGAGGGAGGAGGGTCAGCGCTTGGTTTGCGCGGGTTTCCGTCTATGGCCCCTCTTCTCTTGTTTGTTCGTTTCGTTCGATTGAGAGCAACGACTCACGGAAAGATGGCGAAAGCACGGTCGCGCTGTGGGTGAGGAGATTAGCTATGGGAGCGCCTTCAATGCCGGTTGTGTCTAGAGCAGATTCTTGGTAGAAGGTGGGGCCATCACCCCTCTCCTGCCCCGCAATAGGATCGGAGATGCTTCTGAAGGCAGGTATATATGCATACCAGCTCAAGAACATGTCCCACCGTCGTCTCCTGCGGTATGTGACTATATTCCTGTAGGAGCTTTTTGATGGGTTCGTTGATCTTTTTGTCGACTTCGGCCGGGTCTGTCGTGAGAAATTTGGCGACTCCGGAGGCGTCGTGGTCGGATTTTTCTTTTGAGTTCATACCGAGGATTGGGTGGACTGAGGTTCGAATAAAGAAACAATGTTCAGTGAAGGGAGGAGAACCGGTTGAGTCGGAAATGGCAGAAGTTTTGGAGCGTATTTCGAAAGAGTCTTCGGTTGGAGAACTTCGTGATAGGTTACTAAGGTACTTTATGCATGCAAGAAGCCAATGGGATAATCAAAGAATACACACCAGGCGGCGTGGACTTCCCCATGTTGAGGAGGCTGAACATGATTTTGCGCGCTCGTGTTTTACTTTTTATATTATTACATATCATCACACCCATCAACATGAATCCCCCTCCCTCGTCGTTTCTTCCGACCACGTCAGATCCTTACTAACTTTGATCTGATTGCTAGGCACCTCCTCCCTGATCCCACTCACCCTTGGGTCCGCCGACGCCCCATTGACAACCACACTCCTGTATGGAGGGGCAT